GTGATAATACTGAAACTAATGAAAGAGTAACCTCTAAATATCTATCGTAAAAGCACACAATTGTTTACAAATTCATTTATGAAAGGCTAAGAAATATTCAAAAAGGCATCGTATCAAAAAGTCACAAACAATAAATGTCTTCATTGTAAATATTTGTTTTTTGGTAGCATCATTAAAGTAGACATTACTAGTTTGTCATGGTCTCCTTTACCTGACTTGGTTTCAGTCTTTGCATTGTGTTGTCTTGAGTCTAGAAAAGAACTCATAAAACCCTCACCCTCACTTGTACATGTTATGTCGAAAAGTGAACCTTACAATTTTGGTGCGGGGAGGGGGGGTGGCAGAGGACGTGGGGGGTGGGAGATGGGAAGGGATTGGAAGGAGAAACAAAGGAGGAGGCAACAATACTTGATAAGTAATGTACTCATTACCTTGCCCATGTAATTGTAACCCCTCTCTACGGTATATTCACAATAAAAAAACAAGAACAACAAAGAAACCCCTCACTTGTGGTTTCCTTAAAAATAAAACATTTAGTTTTAGGTACCATGAAATGTTACACTAATGTACAAAATAATAATAATGATAATGATGATGATGATGATGATAAAATAATAATAAATATCACAAAATTCCTCACCTGAATTTCTTTGCAGAACACTACACAGTAAGACAAAAGCCAGTCACATCTTCAGAAGTAGTTTACTGAGGTTCTGGGTTACTTTGTTTCATATTAAATTGTAGATTTGAAGCAAATATATACTTCTTTTTTCTTTATCTTTTTGGTCAATCGTGGGGCTTGAACTCTGGGGCCTGGGCACTGTCCCTCAGCTCTTCAGCTCAAGGCGAATGCTCTACCACTTGAGCCACAGTTCAAGTTTTTCTGGTGGTTTTGTGGGGATAAGAGTCAATGGAATTTCCTGCCCAGGATGGCTTTGAACTAAGATCCTCAGATCTCAGCCTTCTGAGTAGCTAGAGTTAAAGGTGTGAGCCACTGATGCCTGGCTTCTATTTCTATTTTGAGTGACATCACCAACCGCTTTTCTAAACTCTGTCATTTACTAATGATTTTTTTAAAAAAAATATTGTTATTTTCAAAGTGAAATACAAAGGGGTTACAGTTATGTAAGCCAGGTAAAGAGTACATTTCTTTTTGGACAAAGTCACCCTTACCTGATTTTCTCCATCTTTTCCCTCCTATCCCCACTCACAAGTTGTATAATTCAATTTCAATGTAGTGTCTAGTAAGTATCACTGGTGCATTTGTTTCTCTATTTATGTACTTCCCCTTGCCCTCCCAAAGACATATACACAAACAAACAAGACAGAAAGAAGAAAAACCTCTTGTTTCTATTGCCTGGTATTCATTTCAATAAATACTATTTTGTGTGATCAGAGGCATATCGGCATTGTGCCTCTGAGTTCCTCTCCTGAGGGTATCATCCTTTGATCCATAAATGCCTACAGTTCTGTATGATTTATCATTTCCCAGTGTATTTAGATCTAGCTTCCACATATGAGAGAAAACATGTACCATTTGTCTCTCTGAGCTTAGTTTACTTAACATGATTTGTTCTAGGTCCATCCGTATCCCTGCAAATGATATATCATTCTTTGTAATGTCTATGTAAAATTCCATTGTATATAGGTACCATATTTTTTGATCCACTCATCTACTGAGGGCATCTAGGGCTGTTTCCATAACGTAGCTATTGTGAATAGTGCAGTGATGAACATGGATGTGCAAGTGTGTTTATGGTACCCTGGCTTGTGATGTTTGCGTAGATGCTCAGGAATAGTATGGCTGGGTCATAGAGAAGGTCTATGTTTAATTTCTTGAGGAACCCAGAAACTGCTGCCTAGAGAGGTTGTACTAGTTTACATTCCCACCAAAAGTGCAATAGGGTTCTTTTTCCTCTCATCCCTACCAACACTTATTGTTGTTTTAATTCACAATGTTGGCCAAATTTCAGAGTTATTTGGCCAAGGGTGATGACCATTTCCTTATGCTTTTTCCTTGCCATTCTTACCTTTTCTGAGAAGTCTCTCAGCTTCTTTGCCCATTTCCTTTAGTAATGAATTTTAAACTGTCTTAAAATTTAGCAGTGAAATACTACCATTGCCTTCTAGTTAAAATATAGCATACAGATTGCACAATGCTGATGCATTTGTGTTTTAGGTTAAGTAAATTCAACTTTCTAGAGCTTCTTTAAATAAATCTATTATTGTCAGACTATGGACTTAGTGTTCTCAAAAAGCCTCTTCATCTGTAATATGTCTAGTATTACCTCTTTTTACCTGATATCTTATTTGCACTTATTTCCCTATCTAGAATGTTACTAATAGGTTAAAAAAAATGAATGTGGCTTGTTAAACATATGATTCTTGACCCTGGTCATGTCAGTCAATATAATGTCTCTCAGTCCTTCAGTAGTTTGTATTAGTGTATTGACTCTTGGAATAGATTACACTGTAACTATGATAATTAGATTTTATTCCACACACATCTTTTATCTCTTATTAGCATAGTAGTTCACATTGAAGTGTACTATACTTTGGGAATAGTAAGATCTTCATTAAATAATTATTAGATGGTTATTTTTCATAATATTGGATGAAACATTTGTGCTATGAATAATCTATAAATATTGCTTCAGCAGTATTGGATGATATGTTTTATTGGTACATTAATTTCAAATAATCTTTCCTATGTTCAGTCCAAAAATATTGAAATACCATTTTCAAATAACATTAGGACATAAACACAAAATGATAACTCAAATTCAATAGAATAATTAAACATATGAATCTGAGTTTTAATGCTTTTTGGTGACAATTACATTTAAATTTTACAGGGGGAATAGGCATCATTAAGAGAAATTAATGGATTATTTAATTATTGTTAGGTAACAACAGAAGGCCATTGTGATCTACCAAAATTGCTTCTAAAGACATTTTATCTTCTCTAACTCTCCAGAATCAAGGGATGCAGCTTGCTTTCTATGTCTTCCTCTCAAGTTTATACTCTCAAGATTGTTGAGCTAAATGTATCACATGTAGCAAATAATTAGTTTTCAGGCCTGGGAAGGTGGCTCAGTGGTAGAGCGCTTGCCTTGCATGCATGAGGCCCTGCGTTCGATTCCTCAGCACCACATAAGCAAAAAGAAAAAAGCCGGAAGTGGTGCTGTGGCTCAAGTGGTAGAGCACTAGCCTCGAGCTGAAGAGCTGAGGGACAGTGCCCAGGCCCAGAGTTCAGGCCCTACAACCGGAACCCCCCCCCCAAAAAAAGTTTTAGGATTAGTATTGTAACTTTTAAAAACCTGAAATAAATTATGTTCACCATTTCACATTAAATTTGAGAATGAGAAAAACAACGGTTACTACAAAAGTTTTCAAAAAGAGCATAGATAGTGGTAATGTTGCTTTCCTTAACAAAAAAAAGGAAAATAAAAATTAACTCAAACTTAATAATCTACTTGATAGCTACTAATTTTTGTTGAATATTCAATATGTGCTTTATCTCTACAAATATGTTTTGGAAATAGGAATTCAATTCAGTATTTCAATATTTGCTTTATCTGGATACCTGATAATTTGTATCCAATTAAAAGAATTTGTTTCCATAAATATCATACTGTAGACTGACAATCGTAATGTCACTAATTTATCAATATTAGTTCATATCTCATATATTGGGACTTGACTATTGTCCCTTATTTCCTCTTTTTTCAGTTTAAATTTTTTCCTTTAGTTTACTCAGCAATGACTATTACATTTAAATCTGATATTGCCACACCTGCGACTCTCTGTGGTTGGCTACTATTTTTTCAAAATAGATTAGAAAAATTTTAAGTATATTATTGCAAATTCTATTTGTTTTAATTGTGATGTGTCATGAATTCAAATTCTTGTACTTTAATTATACAGTTTCCTTTCCCTAGACAACTTCCGATCTCTCTAAATGTATCTGTTAACAGTGTTCACTTTTCAGAGCTAGTTTCAGTCTCACTGCCCTTTCTCTGTGCTCTGCACACTTTCCTAATTACTTCTTATCACCGGGAAAATTATATATATAAAGAAAATAATAATTACACATAAATTATTGCCTAAATTACAGAAAAACAAAATTCAATAAGCTCATTTAATATATTAAATCCAATTTTATAGAATATTATTTTTATGTGGTATATATACAATGGAATTCTATGACTCCATCAGAAAGAATGACACCACCCCATTTGTTAGGAAATGAAAGGATTTGGAAAAAATTACATTAAGTGAAGTAAGCCAGGCCCAAAGAAACATCGAACCCATGGTTCGATGCAATAACTGGTATATGTCTAAGAGAAGCAGAAAAGGTCAAAAGTTATGTACATATGACCATATAAACTGATGCTATGCGAAATGAACCACGAGATAGAGACACAAGAGTTTTTTTTCTTTGTTGCTGTTCTTTTAAATGTGCTTATAATGTAGTATGCGATTATTTTTGTTTCTTTGTATGTTCTTCCCCCATGGTACAACTACCTGCTGTCACTGTGATTCTGGTGTCCTGCATCTTGTATATACATTTTTCTAATTTGGGAGGGGAAGGGAAATAAAAAAAAATAAGGATACAGGTTGACCCATGGTAACAATGTGATATACAAGACACTATGTTGTAAATGAACTTTGCAAGTTTGTGAGGGGAGGGAAGGAGGAGTTGGGAAGGTAGGGAAAAACAAAGGAGAGGGTAACAATGCTTGATAGGAAATGAACTCATTACCTTGATCATATAACTGTAACCCCTCTCTACAATATCTTTACAATAATATGTATATATATATAAGAATGTTATTTTTAAAAGCTCTTAAATATTAAAAAAATCTTGAAGAGTATCCACTAGTCATTTAACTAATTAGATAAGTTGAATTTCTTTTCAAGATTACAATAAAAAAGGTTCATCAAGAAACAATGCACTTTACTCCACAGCCATAAGATAGCATAGTTATTTTACTTACCCTTACTTGACCCACAAAGGCATTGGCTTCCTCCTCCACCACAGATAAATTCCTAGGTAGGTATGGATCAAACACTGGAGCATTGTCATTGACATCTGTCACTACCACATTCACTGTAGCAGTGGAGGTCTTGAAGAAAATGACAAAAAATAAAAACGTATTAAATATTAGAGGAGCTATTTTCGACTTCAATGAAGTGGTCATCCTGAAATTTCTAGATCCAAAAAGCATCTCATTCCTATTCTGTGTCCTTAGTATTTAAATACACAAATGAATGAATGAATGAAAATATAATAAAATATATAGCACAAAACATCACACTATTGGCCATTCTTATTTCCTCTTCAGAGAAGTCTTTCTTTAAGCCTTTAGCCCACTAATTAATCAGGCAGTTGTTTCTTTGAGCATTTGTTGTTGGGGGATTTAATTTTTTGAGTTCTAAGTATATTTTAGGTATGAGACCCTTGTCTGTTGTATGGCTAGTGAAGATCTTCTCCCAATCTGTGGGCTTTCTATTGATCTTGCTAGCTCTATACTTTGCCAAGCTCTGAAGTTTCATGCAATCCCATTTGTCTAACCTTTCTTTGATTTGTTGTGTTTCTGGGTCTTTATTAAGAAAATTTCAGCCTGTGCCAAGAAGCCCTTGAGTTTCTCCTAATCCTTCCTATAATGTTATCAGGGTGTCTTCTTTTACTTGGAGGCTTTGATCCAGTTGGAGTTGGTTCTGATGTAGGGTAATATACAAGGATCTAATGTCAGTAGATGAACAGATCAAGGAAATGTGGTATGTATGTGCATATATATGCATATATACACATATAATGAAATTCTATGCTTCCATCAGAAAGAATGACACCACCCTATTCGTGGAAAGACTTGGAAAAAATTATATTACGTGAAGTAAGCCAGACCCAAAGAAACATAGGTCCATGGTTTCCCTTATTTGTGATAATTAGTATACATCTAGGATAATCTTAGCAGATGATCAGAATAGCTCAATACATATGTCCATATGACCATATAAGATGATGCTAAGCAAAATGAACTCCAAAATATGGGACACAAGAGGTTTTTCTTTGTTGTTTTTTTTTTTCATCTCCTATGTAATTTTTTGTTTCTTTTGTATGTACTTCCCCTATGGTATAACCCCTGTTGTCACTGTATTTGATTTTGATACCCTGGTATTTTATATATGTCTATTTGGATTAGGGAAGTAAAGGGGAACCACAGAATAGTGACACAAAGGCCAATGGGAGAATCAATGCAACAGCGATAGACACAAGCCAATATGTTGAAAATGATCTGAACAACTGGGGATTGGGGAAGGAAAGTAGTAGAAAAATAAGGCAAAGAATAACAAATTTGACAAGCAATGTACTTATTATCTTTCTTACGTAACTGTAACCTCTCTATACATCACACTTCAACAATAAAAAATCACACTATATAAATATGCGTTATCTGGAAAGTTAATAGTCTGAAAATATTAATAGTGTTAATGTTTCACATTTAAATCAATAACATTAGTTGCAGATACTGGTCATAAAATTAGTGCTTTATGAACATACAACCCTGGGGATGGTACAAAAGTGAATCTACCATTACTATGTGACTAAAGAGAAATTTCCGATCTTCTGTGACCGGAATGTCCAATGACATGTGCAGAATTCAGATACAGCTCCATACATGATTCAAATTGGAGAGTGTCCTCTGAAGTCTAAACCTCAGTACAGTTCCTAGGTTCTGCCTAGCTCCATCAGATTTAGGGCATACAGCAGAAAGAGAAAGAGGACTTATAAAGGATACTAATATCTGGACAGAACTATATATCAAACATTTAAACAACACAAATTTCTATTAATATAGACTGTTTATATAGTATTTTTATGCATTCAATGAAATAATATACACTAATAAGAATGAATGTACTAATGGTAAAAATACTAAAGCTAATAGATTTCACGCATGTAAACTTGAGTTAAAGAGGTCAGACACAGAGATCTACATGCATTTCAGTGGTAAGTTTACTATCAAATTAAATGATTATGATTTATGCACTTTTCTACTTGTATATTTTCCAAGAAGTCATTTAATTTATAAGCTGCATACATGTATATAAATCCATTGTGCATGTACATGTATATATATGTATATATAACTTCTTTATACATATAAAGAGAATCAAATGTGTTCTGGTTGTATTGAATATAGATTTATTTTATAGATTTATTTATTTTTATGTTTCCAAATGTTGTACAAAGAACCTACATTGCTTTTATAACAAAAATATTAAAAAAAACTATTACCACTTACAAGTTGTGTCAGAGGTGAAAACAGTTTAAAATAAAATGTGTTTCATAGTTACATTGCTTCCCAACTTGCCCAAGGGTGAACAAGACATTAAAATTGACAGCCTGGAGCCAAATTTTAGGAGCAGCCACAATGGAATTTGCTGACTGTTCTTCTAACTACCTGACCCCTTTTTTGCCTACTTATATATTTGTACTTCTGTGTCAGTCTGTTTTGCTATTTTTTTCCTCACTCCATTTTTTTACATTCTCATTGTGGATATCATGGAGTTATATGCTTTTATATTCTTTTATATCCACCATCCAGTATTGTAACCTGTAAGTGGATAATGTACAGGAGAAATGTATAACTTAATAAATTCATAATTAAATAAAATGCATAGCATTCTGTGCTGAATGGGAGCTAATATTCATGAACCACGTGGGCTTATTTCTCCATGTCTCAATGAGTTTACAGCACCCAGGAAGAATCAATATTTCTGGCAGAAATAATAAGACACACATAGAACAATGTCTTGCTTACATATTTCTTAAGAAATCTGAAGAGGACTTGCATGGGTATCGTTGAATAATCAATAAAACGAATATTTCTGGCCTATAATTATGTCTATTGATCCTTAGCTTCATTGTACCATCCCAAATGCTTTGTAATAGATTCATTTTTAAAATTTTTATTTTATTGTACATGTGCTGTACAGAAGGGTTACAGTTATATCAGTAAGGTAATGAGAACATTTCTTTTCAAACATTGTTACCCACTCCATTTTTCTTCCATTGTCCTCCACCCCAAGTTGTATAGCTCATTTCCAATATAGCGTTTTGTGAGTATCATTTGCATTGGTTCACCCTCTGTCCTTGTTTCACAATTTTGTTATTCCCTTCCCTCCCCCAAATCAGATAAATGTATATAGAAGACACAGAATCAAAGACAGTGATTGCCAGGGATAAACCTAAGGGAAAAAGAAAAATAGAATAAATTAAAAAGAAAGAGCTTGATACAGCACATTGATGACAAGTTAAACAACCAAAAAAAGATATGTTGTTTTGGAGTGCATTTCGATTAGCATCATTTTTGTTTGTCTTTAATCACTGTATTTGATTTCTCCGTTAGATTTAATAATGTCTATTGATATCTCCATGTTTGCTGATCCTCTCAATCTCAAATTGACCAATGAGTGACTTATATATATATATAATTTCAGTAATAATATTCAGCTTCATAATTTTTTCATTATGAAATTTTATTTGAAAATACCTTTCCAAAGCCGGGCGCCTGTGGCTCACGCCTGTAATCCTAGCTACTCAGGAGGCTCAAAGCCAGCCCAGGCAGGAGCATCCGTGAGACTCTTTATCTCCAATAAACCACTATAAAACTGGAAATGGTGCTGTGGCTCAAGCAGTGGAGCGCTTGCCTTGAGATGAAAAGCACAGGGACAGCTCCCAGGCCCAGAGTTCAAGCCCCTTGACCGACAAAACAAAAAAGAAAAAAAGAAAAGAAAATACCTTTCCTTGGGCTGGGAAGGTGGCTCAGTGGTAGAGCGCTTGCCTTGAATGCCTGAAGCCTTGGGTTCGATTCCTCAGCACCACATAAGCAAAAAGAAAAAAGCCGGAAGTGGCGCTGTGGCTCAAGTGGTAGAGCGCTAGCCTTGAGCTGAAGAGCTGATGGACAACGCCCAGGCCCAGAGTTCAGGCCCCACCACCGGACCAAAGAAAAAAAAAAGAAAATATCTTTCCTTAACTTTTTAGGTTCACTTACTCATTGAAAATTTTTCTGTTTTCTATGCATGCTTGTATGTATGTATGTATGTATGTATGTATGTATCTGTCTGTCTGTCTATCTATATATCTATCTGTTTTCTCTACATCTTTTAGAAAGTCTACCACTAGATTTTTTTTCGGAGGGGTGGGAACTTGGGGCTTAGACTCTGGGCCTGGATAGTCTCTCCGAGCTATTCAGCTCCAAGTGAGCACTCTACCACTTGAGCCACAGCATCACTTCCAGTTTTCTGGTGGTTAATCAGAGATAAGAGTCACTTGGACTTACTTGCCTGGGTTGGCTTTGAATCACAATCCACAGGTCTCAGTCTCCTGAATAGCTAGGATTAAAGGTATGAGCCATGGGTGCCTGACTTTACTACCTGATTTTGTTGTTGTTGTTGTTGCCGGTTGTGGGTCTTGAACTCTGGGCCTGGTCATTGTCCCTCAGCTCTTCAGCTCATGGCTAGTGCTCTACCACTTGAGCCACAGTGCCACTTCCAGCTTTTTTCTTTTTGCTTATGTGGTGCTGAGGAATCGAACCCAGGGCCTCAAGCATGCAAGGCAAGCACTCTACCACTGAGCCGCCTTCCCAGCCCCACTACCTGATTTTTTTAAGAGAGAGTTCTGGTCCAATTAGTTTGTCCTACGTAGTTTCCTGCTTTTGTATTCCTTTGTTAGAAATTAGATTCTGATTCTGTGTGATTACACTGAAGTTCACAATTTTAACTTCTCCCTGATATTCATTTTTATAATTATTAGATTATTATTACTTCTTTAAGTACCACTACTGCCACTGTGATTACGACTAGTAGTAGTAGTCATAATAATAAATATTAGTACTATTATAGACTAGCTGGCTTCAAGCTTGTCTCCTCTTTCTTCAACCTAGGAAGGCTGGCATTACAGATGTGTTCCACTATTGCCTCAAGTCTTTTGTGAGCCTATTCCTTCCTCAGCACATGTGTGGTGAGTATAATTTCTCCCCTATACAAAGATGCTTTGTTGAATATCCAGCATTTTAACATTTTTCTCAAAAGGGGTCAACTTCAATTCTCAAGTTTCCTACTTATGGAATAAAAGTACTTAGGATCATCAGTGCATACCACCATTGCCCAGTTTGTTGATTGAGACGGATTCTTTGTTGATTGAGATGGATTCTGAACATTAACTTTTTGAATGTATATTACTTAGAATTTTTAACTCAAGTATATCCTAATCTCCATCATCGTTCATGGCCTAGTCACATTTAAAGAACGTTTCAGAACACTTCTGAAAGGATAAAGCATATGTTTCCTCCAGTTAAAAAAAAATAAAAAAATGCAATCATTTTTAAGCTCTGAAAATGAATGAGATAATATAATGTCTCAAAAGAAATCCATTCATAAAGATTTTATTCAAATATATTTCAGCTAAAACATAAGAACACTAAAAAATAGGTATTATTTTTCTTAAGAAATTGGTAAATTCTTCTATAGTCAGTAATTGAAAATAAATATGAATATTAACATTTCAAAAAAGACCACAAATGGACATATTGAATTGAAACTCCTTTGTATGACTTAAACATACTCAAATATAAGTTTAAAAAATCAGGGCTGAGAAGGTAGGTCAGTGGTAAAGTGCTTGCCACGCATGCATGAGGCCCTTGGTTTGATTCCTCAGCACCACATATAAACAGAAAAAAGCTGGAAGAGGCTCAAGAGGTAGAGCGCTAGCTTTGAGCTGGAATGCTGAGGGAGAGCACACCGGCCCAGAGTTCAAGACTCATGACTGACTCCCCCAAAATTTTTAATTAATTAATTTAAAAAATCATCTTATTATGCTGTGATAGGTAGTTAAAATAATTATAATAAATTATAAATTTTCTGAGGATCGCGGTTTAAAGCCAGCCCTGGCATAGAAAGTCCGTGAGATTCTTATCTCCAATAAACCACTGGAAAACCAAAAGTGATGCTGTGGCTCAAGTGGTAGAGCGCTTGCCTTGAGCTGAATAGCTGAGAGACAGTGCCCAGGCCCAGAGGTCAAGCCCCATGACTGACTCTCTCTCTCTCTCTCTCTCTAAATATATATATATATTAGTTTGTATGTTTGTCGATCATAATTTGTAAAATAAATTTTGAAATGGGAAACATGGGTGAGACAGATAAAATTTCCAGTATATTCTCACAAAATATAAATAATGGCCAAAATAGTGTGAGCTCTATTCATTCCTAGTCCCTTTTCTGACTCTTATAAACATATTCAAGTTTACTCTGAAATTTTATTTCATATAAATTGCTGATAATCACTTTGATTTAAGAAAAATCCAAACTTCTATGGTCTCTGCTCATATATTATTCATCTTAAAGATTACCATTATTAAAGTTAAAGTACTGGTTTTGAAGATTACCATTATTAAAGTTAAAGTACTGGTTTTGTTGGTACTTTTTTAAGGATATCAACTTAAATGTTTCAATCTGAGGGCTCTCAAAGTACGAGAATATTATTTTTAAGCAATCACTTTCTACTTCAGGAGCACAACGTTCATGCTTATATAAAAGTATATGTCTAAAATTATGTAATTATATTATGTATTATGTATTACCTGAAAAAATGTCTGAAATTAATTGTATTCTATATGAGATGCAGACATTTGAAAATAAAACAATTCATTAAAAAGGAAATATTGTAAAGCTGAGTGAAATCTTACTGACAATGGATTTAGAAAATGGATACCTAGACATGTTGAGACACCTTGCCAAAAAGAACCAAAATATTCTAGTAAATTACTGAAAATACCTTTAAGAATAAAATCATTAATTTCAGTCAAGACATTGTGTATTCCAGTGGACAATATCATGATTAGTTGATTTTGAATATGCCAGAAATCTAACTACGCTATTTATTTTCCATTCTTTCCCTAATTTAAGAAATTTTCTGTTCAATGGCAGACCTTAAATATCCTAGCTAATATAACTGCATCAATTTTTGATTTATAATATGACACAGCTTACAATTACACATTATGCTTCATATTTTTTCTATACCAATTTTTAACCTAAATATCCCTTCTGCAATTCACTTTACTTATACCCCTTAATGTATGTTAAATATTTTCTCCTTTTTTTCTTACAATTTTCTTCCTGTATTGTTGTCTAATCAAGTATTTTATTCATTATTTCTTTTTAAGAATCCCATTACTGATCACATTTGTACCACAGGCCCAGAAAAACAGAGGATATTGCACACACATAAATTCATCTTAGCCTTTATTTTCCTTCATCATTCTGCCATTTGAGTCGTTTCTATAGGGCCTGATAATCTCTAGAACTGTACTAAAATGGTACATTTTATATTTGGTATAGTATTTAATGTCTGAAATATCAAATATTTTATAATACAAAATATGCAATTACCAAATTTGCTAATTCTTCCTATTTTTCTCATTTTGATAAAGACTATGAAATGATACAAGTATCAGTTTCATCTTCTTATAATAGCATTTTTTTTTTTTTTTTGTCGGTCGTGGGGCTTGAACTCTGGGCCTGGGCATTGTCCCTCAGCTCTTCAGCTCAAGGCGAGCGCTCTACCACTTGAGCTACAGCGCCACTTCCGGTTTTCTGGTGGTTTATTGGAGATAGGAGTCTCACGGTCTTTCCTGCCCGGGCTGGCTTTGAACCACGATCCTCAGATCTCAGCCTCCTGAGTAGCTAGGATTACAGGCGTGAGCCACCAGCGCCCGGCTATAATAGCATTATTTCCTCAGAAGGCATCCTGAAGTAAATGGAAGGACCACATTTTCATATATTCTTAGCCAAGCTATCACGTGGATCCAAAAATTGATTTTAACTCAACTGGAGATCGGTTACTATTTGAAAAGATTGAAACTTATTTGTCTATCCTGGGCTTGAAATTATTTGAGACAACAGTGCTGATTGGCACTAAAGCATTTAACTAAAGGAGAATAAAAAAAAAGAATGGCAAAAAAATAAAATAAAACACCAGCCATGATAAAAAAAAATTACAATGCTTAAAAATCTGGATATGTAGTTTGTGAATATGGTAGTTTGAAGAAGATAGACAAATAATTTGAATAATTCAAAAATAACTTAGAGTGTTGGAGACTAAGCTAAATGATGGAGAGTACTCAAACAGCAGGCACACGGTCTTATGAAGCAACCCAACAGCATCAACTACCTACTGAAGAAAGATTAAGTAAATTTATTTATTCTTAAAACTGACTTTCGGGGGCTTGAAAGGTGGCTCAGTGGTAGAGTGCTTGTCTTACATGCATGAGGCCCTGGGTTCGATTCCTCAGCACCACATAAGCACCAAAAGCTGGAAGTGGTGCTGTGACTCAAGTGATAGAGTGCTAGCCTTGAGCTGAAGAGCTGAGGGACAGTGCCCAGACCCACAGTTCTGGCCCCATGACTGGCAAAACAAAACAACACAAAAAAAATAAACAACTGACTTTTGGATCCAAAAGATGTAGGATGTATCTTTTGGATGAAAGTAAAGGGTCAACTTTAATCATTGTCATCACACTGATGTTCATCAAGCTTATCAATTAAGCGTTTGCTTTGTTCATAAACAGGTATACTCATAAATCTACCTATAATCCCTGCCTCAAAGTGGCAGTAAGTGAAGGAGGTTTCCACATGGTAAACCTAGCAGACAAACGCATTTCATAGTTCTAAGAATGATTCTTAGAATAACTTAGGTTTCACTGTCCTGGTAGATGGGAGTTGAATCTGATCATAAGTGCCTAAACTACAAAGTCAAAGGTTCTAACACCAGATCTCATTCAGAGTGTAGGTATATTAATTAAAAGAACCTTCTGGGGGGAAAAAAGCACTTCTAATTATGGGTGTTCCAGGTAAAAAGAAGATTAATTCATAATTTTATGTGTTCCAGTCTAGAGCAGATTAATTCATAACTATAGCACATTTATTTTAGAGCATAGGGCCACAAGAGTAAAAGTTTTTTGAACACTAATTTGAGAAGCCTGTTGTATGGCGTATACTCACCCCATCTGGCCTGCCATCTGAAGCTGTGACGATGAGAATATAACGATCTGTGCTTTCTCTATCCAGGGCTTTCCCTAAGGTTAGAATCCCTGTACTAGCAGAAGAAAAAAATCAACAGTAAGATAGAGAAATACAAGGTCACAACCAGTGTGTTTTCTATACAAAACTATGTTAGATTATTTCCAACTAAGCAATCAGAACTTCCACACTTAAGATGGATAATACTAGGATTCCAGTTGCAAATTGAAAGAGGCTTTTTAAGACTATCAAGTTTCTTAGCAATAACAATAAGCTACCAAACTGAATAAGATAATTGTGATGATTCCTTATCTTCTAGTGAAAAAAATCAAAATGAGATTTAATTCATTCCTGGAATAAAGAAATCTATCTTATTTGTGATTATTTCTAAATGAAAAGAATATTATATCTCTGCAGGGTAACAATTTTTTCAGACTCAGAATGATTTATTATAGATAATATACATTATCTTCCTACTCATGGTCATATGCCTGTTCATTCTTTAAGTAGAAGACACTTAACATATAATTTGATAAATTCTATGGATAAAAGTTAATTTTTTTCCTAGTTACTTAGGAGGCTGAGATCTAAGGATCATGGATCAAAGCTATCCCAGACAGGAAAGTCTGTGAGACTCTTATCTCCAATTAAATCACAGATGATTAAGGAAGTTACGCTATAGATCAAGTGGAAGAATGTTAGCCTTGAGCAAAAGGATCTTAGGGACAGTGCCCAGGCTCAGTTCCAGTCTCAAGACTGATAAAAGAAAACAAAACCAAAACCAAAACGTCACCTAATCATAAGTGCATCTATAACACACCTTGTTTAAAAGATTTTTGTTTTTGAATAAAAGGCTCAGTACTAAGTTACTTTCTGAAGGATTGTCCTTGCCATTAGAAGTAGTTGACAACTTTAAAGGCATTCAATTAATCCCAAGCTATGCCCGCAAATGAAATGTTTCCACCTCAGTGGATTTTAGTTAGTAAAAATGCTTAAAATAAATAAATAGTCTCCTGGGTAAGATTTTTGGGTTCAAAATTAACCTCTTAGTTCTCATTAACATTCATAAGGGAAAATACAAGTAAAATAAAAGTACAAACAGCTGAAAGTTTCTGATTATAAGTCCAATCCCTTATGAATATTATATTAGCATTAAAATGAGGAAAATCAGGTTATAAATCACTTCACCATAAATCACTTCACTTTTAACTTTTCAAAACTTACGTTTCTGAAAGATTAAAAACTCTCTGGGGGTCTCCATTTTCAATGGCATAGGTTATTGGGTCTCCCTCCCGATCAGTTGCCTTAAATAGAAGAAACAGAATTCAATAACCAAGTGGTTTATGTAAGATTGAAACTAAAGGCACCTAAGTCCAGCTCACTGTTAAAGAATAAAGGTTATGACAGGAGCTGTGGCTCAGTAGTGCAGCTCTTTCTACGGTATTCAGGCCTGGAGTTCAAATCTCAGTTTCACCAAAACAAAATAAATAATAATATATGGCTGAATGACAAGATGAAGAATAAAGGACTGTATATTGGATGTCAGTATTTCTGAAAGTTCACAAAATCTTAATGAAATGATCAGGATAAAATTACAATTTCTTTAATAATGGTTTGCAAAACAAATACCATGTTTATTAATTAAAAGCAATTACTCCTTGTAGTCAACTCAACCAAATTATTAAGTACATCTGATTTTGAGTCAGAAACTTTTCAGAAGCAAAGGACAAAAATGTTTATCTAAGTGAGAAGTGTTCATAGGAACCAGGAAAAGAACTTGTGAAATAGAAAACATATCTCTAAACTATCATTCTATTCATGTAAAAAAATGAACAAATCCCTGAAGTGGTACATGGTAGAGGATACACTGCGCATGGATAATCATGTTACATTTTTCATAGCACATTGAGACAAAGCACTAGCCTATAGGAATTCTTGTATAGATAAGATCAAAGGATTTAGATGATCATCTCTTTTGTCACTTAGACAATGTATTCTGATACATGATTTTACGTAAGTTGAGAGCAAGAATTAAAGCTTGCTATTCAAGACAACAGTGTTTCAAACTATATATTTGCACATGCACATACATATACATATGTACATATATATACATGCACATATATATGTATATGTACTCTTAGTGTTATGTAATTGGCCTTGCAATAAAAAGGTGGTTGTGAAGAATATATTTTCAGTGTCAGTTAAAAAATATTTTGTGTCATTAGTGTTATTCTGTTTTTTTTTATTTTAATATACAATTTGTTCTTAAAATGAGGTTAAATGAAAATATCAGTTAATTCAAATCCTCAAAAGAAGTCATAAGATGTAATATATAAACCTGAAATTTGGAAACGTAGCTAAATATAAGAGCGTGTGTGTGTATGTATGTGTACTCTTGGATATACAACTTTCTTAGTTTTGATGTTTTTATTAATAAACAGGAATAGTCACACATTAAGAGGAGAGGACAATTAACACATTGACTACTCCATGATTTTTGAGATTGAAAACCTAAGTCTCTGCACAGTAATAAATTTCTGTTTTGGCATTTCTTGGTAGGTAAATTTAGCAAACTTAAAAATGCAAATTATCCAGAATATGTTTTGTCCTTCAATCAACAAATTGATGAAATTTCTTCAAAAACAATCATGCTATCATTCTTTCTCTTTTCCCTCCTATCTGTGTGTGTGTGTGTGTGTGTGTGTGTGTGTGTGTGTGTGTGTGTGTGTGTGTGTGGTGTGTGTGCCCTTTCCTTGAAACGATGCTTACATAACCCAAGCCTCTATGTGTCTATGTTCTGCCAAATTCTTTGAATCAATATGCCCTTTTCTTTGTGTACATGTAGGTATCTGTCTGTCTGACTGTTGTCTGTCTCTCAGCTACTACCAAAATTGTGATAGAAATGCTGAGAGGAAGATATGGTTTATGTGTAAAAATTCCACACCCCCCCCCCCGCCACAGAAACCAGAACTTGATAAATGGTTAATTCTAAGAATAGAAATTTTAAAAATATACACAATAAATCTGGAACATCTTGTTAAAAGACAGCATAGCAGAACACTCCAAAAGTGATGGTTATGTTCTAGAAGAACATGTGAATTGTTGGAATGGGGTCAGTAAGATCAATTTGGGGACAATTTAAGCACTGAAATAATTGATAGGAATAGTGTTTTGTATTGAATGTGTTGTCTCAAAATTCATACCTTTGAACCTGATCTCCAGCATGATGATTTAGAAGGCAGTGAAGACCTTGAGGAGGATTACCTTTCTAGAAAGAACAGTACTAGAGAACTGGGAAAGTAGCATGTCACCCAACGTTGTTAAAATCTAGGAGCATATCAAGATTACTTTCTGCTTTTCATGACTGAGTCACACTTATACAAAAGTCAATGTTTTATGGGAATTACAATGGAAATATTTGCTACTACTGTAATATGATGATATTTCTTCATGAATTTTTTAATGTCAAGCTCACATGTTTTCTGTAATTTTTATAGAATTTCCAAAGACAAAGTTAGCATAAGTAAAATTGTGTGTTTGTGGCTGTGGAAAATCTACTGTGTACCTTGTGTATATGCAGATTATGCGTGATATGTAAGCATACACACATACATGCATGTGTCTATAATCATAAATTGACCATATATGTCCCCAATACATATCTGTATATGTATAGGGAAACATTTATGAATGCACATAGATTAATTTCAAAAATAAAACAAATCGAAGAAAAAGAAAGATAAAGTAGATAAATATAGTTAGCTTGCTATTTTAGGCATTATTCATTGAATTTTCCATCATGTCTCATAGAAAAGCCTCTGATTCTAAGTCTCTGCACTGTAGTTAAATTAGGACTATGGGTCATGGCAATCAAGGTTTATTGCACTTTCTCACCATTTGTTTATTGCACTTTCTCACCGTTTGTTTATCAAAACCAAAACAAACTGCTTTTATTTTGGGAGGGGGCAGAAGAAACTCTTGATGTGCTGAGGCAAACTTATTGCTAGATAATTCTACCTCCACCTCTGAAATGTGTTTTCTGAGTCTAAAGGTCTCTTGGAGGACAGCTTTCATTTTTTGTGTGTAAGACATGTATGTGTGAGCAGAAAAAAAATTCAGGGATGAAAAAGACATGTTTAACTTCATGTTTTTCTAAGACCATTATTGGATTTAGTGAATCCATGTTTAAGAAAAAAAAAAAAGCTATTCAAAACAGGAATAAGAAATCTATAGTCAAATTCTTCAGTTTTCTTAAGCCTTCCATTGTAAATATTATGTTTCCTATTTATAATCTAAAATAAATTGTTTTCTCAGCTGCAACTCAACAAATGCCTGGTAGTTAAGTGAAAAACAAAAAACAAAAAAAAAACAAAATAAAACCAATCCATAGGCATTTCTCAAGATCAATTGGCTCTCCTGTTGTTTTCACTCAAAAACTGCCTCTGATTAGCTATTTGTTGAGTGTGCTTCAGGAACATAGTTTCTGTTTCTACCTCTTCATCACAATCTCAGGAAAATCATAGCATTTGCATGTTTAAGCTATAATCAACAAGAGTTGGCAGTATTTGGAACAATAAACAGCTCAGGACATGCAGTAAATGGTGAGGTTTTATTTTAAAAAACAACACATTAAGAACCATTTATTGCCAAGTTACCTAAGGTAGTCTTAATGACTGCTATGAAAACATTAGTAGCTAGTTTATAGTTTTCCAAACAGTATGTACATTCCAATTAGTCCTTTGTTAAAAGTTAATTTTAGGGATAGCACAGCTATTTAATCCTGTCCAGTTAAAAGGGGCAGGGAAACAAACAGAACAGCAACAACAAAAGTTCCTTATGTCAAACAGGTACAGAGATTTCAAATTATTCTATTAATCATACAGAGTCATCTATCTTCAGGAAAAATGAACAGGGTCACTTTTACCCATAATCATAACCCCATCAAAAGATGATGTTAATTAGTAAAATTGATCTTCATCATTTTCTACAAAGATGAAGCCAGAAATGGGAAGTTCCCAATTTCTCTTCCTACAACCCTGAAAACAACTGTGCTTTCACAGCAGAAATGACAAAACTTAAAACAAGACAGGAAATAGGTCAAGACACATTTAATGTGGGTCTTCATCACCACCCTCAAATACAGCTCCATTGCTATACACAGTACCTCTGCAGTTGTTTGTAAGATTCCATTGTCCTTGTGTTGTAATTTGTTGTTCCAGGGACCATTTCCCCAAAGCCCTTATTCTTTGTTTGTGGCTACAGTTCTGAATGAATTGTTCTTTTGTGGGAATGCAGGATGTACTGATGGTGCTGAAGAGCATCACTGGACTCTATCTTCTGTCATGCACAGGTGTCAAAAGTAGCTGCTTCCTAATAGTGACAATAGACCCTGAAAAATGTCTATAGAAGAGCCAAAGGAGATCAACTCCTTTAAATCAACTTCAAAAATGTGTCATCTAGCACTCAGTTTAATTGGAGGTGAAACAAAACACATAGTTCTTGAAATTAAGGCCATCCCATGAAATCCAGGTTGTGTGCTTTCCATAACCAGAATCACTGTATCTGATAGTGTGTTACTCACTTAAAAACCCACTTACTAATTTCCATAGTTTACTCCAGGTCTATAGATTGGGTTTTCTAGTCTGGTGGGGAAATAAATTCTAGTTAATATCTAATGTGCTAATTTCCATGAGTCTCAACATGTTCCAATTACAGATCCCAATATTTCAGGCCAGAAAGAAAAGCCCATTGTTTTAAATTTGGAATGCATATTTACAGGTGCTGTAAACCTAGGAGACTCAAGGATATTAAAGTCAGTGTTACAGTTCATCTGCAGTTCAGAAAGCCTCATATAAATTTGAAAGTGGGAAGGTGACTACTATTGCTAATGACATAGTTAGGGTGAATTTTCCTTAGTACCTGATGAAAAGCTTTTTTGTTGTTGTTGTTTCTCACAATGAAAGTGATTTAGGCTAGCTGGGAAACTGAAAACCCTTTCTAACACTCCAAATTCTCATGTCAGAGTTTGCCTGTGACTTTAACATACTTCATACTGTTGAAAGCAGCAATTGGGCTGCCATTTCTCAGGGAGAAAAAAAAAAACACTTTAGGCAAAATTGACTCTTGTATGAGTCGAGAACTGGACATACACTGGGATTTCTCAAAATCCAAACTCAAACATTCATAACAGTCACTATGGGTTTTGTTTAAGGACAGAGAGTTAACATGAACTGTTCTGACTGTGAGACACATTTTTATGTATGTTACGTAAAGGCAGAAATGCCATTGTTGAAGATGTGCT